AAAGAGTGGTACTAAGACTGAGTTTGAGGGTTTTGCCTAAGGTCATGTCCCTGTTCCACCTGCCGCAGGCCATCGTTGTACCTGTTTTCTTCCCTTTCCCAACTTCTGAAGCAGAAAAGGCATTGCACAAGTTAGACATCTGAAGGGCTTTATTGTATTATTTACATCGGACAAAACCTTTCAGAAAATCTGTGCCTTTATTTATGTGTTATTTGGGCCCTTCAAAGGCAGGGCTGCTTCCTCCCAAACCATTTCTAGGTGGATCACGAGAGCTCTTAGATGATGTTATGACCAGGCCAAACAGGTGTGTCTGCTGACAGTTCACGCCCATTCAGTCAGGGCACAGGCTTCATCGGCTTCATTTTCACATAGCACCCCACTGACAGACATCTGTAGAACTGCGACTTGGTGTCTTCAGACACCTTCTTGAAGCACTGTGTGGTCAATGTCAACAGCAGAAGGGAGGCTTCAGTTGGCAAAGCTGTCCTGCCTTTTTTCTTCCAGTGAGAGCATCATACCCACCTCCGAGTAAGTAGCTTTTTAGTGTCCCGGTGTGGGACTGCACAGAAGACTAAAGATGAAAAAAGTGTTGCATGTAACTGTAACTGTTTTTCATTGAGTTGTCTTCTATGCAGACACACCTTCCCTTCTTCCTTCCCTGCTGTGAGCTCTCTTAAGAGGTTGGGATGCTCTCAGCGGCTGGAGAACTGAGGGAGGGAAGTGAGCCCCTCCCAGGAGCACATGACCGTTTAGGTGGGAAAATGCTCCTCTAGCTCCAGGGGGAGGGGTTCCCCTTCAGCTTTCTATAGAAAGGGATGGAAAAGCTGGAAAGGAATCCTCTGGTTGCTGGCCTGCACAGAAGACAACTTGAACAAACAGTTATAGGTAAATTCAACACTGTTTCCCCAGCCCCTTGGTGTTAATAAAAAGGAATTTGTTAAAAAGAAGTAGGAGAAAGCTCCAAATATATCTTTTTGTTGTTGTTGTTCTTTCCTATGTGAATATATATATAAGGGAAGACCTTCCTTCATTTTATATTATGTGCTAAAGTCTGCATATATGTAGGCAACTTCCCCTTTAAAAGGTTTAGGAATCTCAAGTCTTTCATTCCTTCTTTTGTTGATGACATTCAGTTAGTAAGCTATTGTGGGTGATTTCAGCAGCAAGACTCCATATTCTGTGTTTTCCTTTGAGATACTAAGTAGCATGTGTTTATTTTTACCTTTCTGTTGACTGACTTTTGGCAATCATACACTATAGTGTCTCAAGATCACGGAAGATATTGTAAAGCAAACCAAGCAAGCAGAGTGAACATATATTTCTGTCGTTAACTGTGTGACAGAAACAAACATGCAAACTTTGTAGGCCTCCCCTTCCCCCCTAATTCATTCCTTTTGTCCCCACCTATTAGTTCAGACACCAAAGAAATGGGTTAGCTCACTGGTTGTTTTAGTTGAAAGAAAACATGCTGTTAAAAAATAACATGTTTGGAAGAATGTGAGATTTTGGGGAAAGGTTCCACTTCAGTTGTCTAGCTGAAAAGCATTAGCATTCTCTTCAAATGTGTTCTTGCTGTTGCTGCTGACTCCTGCTGTTTTTGTGGGCAGTGTCAGTTTCCTTATGAGAATTGCCAGGCTGAATGACTTTAGCTCTGGGCAGACAATCAAACTGGGTATGTTTTGAGGGGAGACTGGGATCGGCAGATCTGCTGGCCCCATCCTTAACTTCTGTGTGCTGATCCTGACTTCTGCAGGGTGAGGGCCTGCATATCTCAGTGCTAGATGCATGAGCTGGACTTTTTCAGGGTTAGAATGCATATGCTGAGCCTATATATATGACCAACACGTTGAAGTCAGAGAAAAGACCAAGGCCAATAGGTACAACCTGACTGTGCTGTACAGGCCTCAAAATAATACCTGTTAAGCTCTGCTTTCTGTGCCCCTGCCTTCAGAGGTGAGGTGGGTAGCAATTAGAGACAGGACAATTTCTGTCATGGCAGCACCCCTCTGGAGTGCTTTCCCACTTGAGGCTTGCCTAGGGTTGCCAAGTCCTTACCGTAGGTATAGCGGGGGAGTCCAGCGCTGCTCTGAGAGTTCATAGATTTTCCCCGCGGATGACTGAGCCCCGCCCCCAATGCCCCCCGACGCGACTGCGTCACTTCCGGGTGACGTGCTGACGCCGGGCACGTTGCGTGCTTTGGGGGTGGGGTTCCCCCGGGTCCCGATCCTCTGGCGGTGGGTAATGGGCCTCTCGGGCGGGGGTTTCCCCGCCCCCCGGGGGGACTTGGCAAGCCTAGGCTTGCCTGGTATCTACTTTGCTTACTTTTAGGCACCAGCCCAAAACATATATTAATCAGGCTTTTAAATAGGAGTTATATCTTATCAGCCTTTCAATGTACTGCTTCTTTTATTCGATAGTCTTTATGCTGTTTATGTCCAGTGGCTTTTTCATGGTGGCTTGTTTTTATATTGTTACGTTGTTTTACTTGTAAGCTTCCTCAGGCAGCACTCTGAAGACACAGCATGGAAATATCCTAAATAAATAAATACCCTTCTGACTTCATGAGCCCGTGTCTTCCATGTATCTCTTATCCCCTGATTCCTGTAAAAGGTGCAGTGAAAAACCCAGCTTGCCACATAATGTTTTTTAAAATTAAATTTTATTTTTTATGGAAAAACAATTTCAGATATAACATGTAACGTTAATTCCTAGTCAAATCAAACATAATAAGGTTAAGGTAAAGGTTCCCTTGCTCGAAAGCCAGTCGAGTCCGACTCTAGGGTTGTGGTGCTCATCTCCGTTTCAAAGCCGAAGAGCCAGCGCTGTCCGAAGATGTTTCCGTGGTCATGTGGCCGGCATGACTAAACACCGAGGCGCACGGAACGCTGTTACCTTCCCTCCAAAGTGGTACCTATTTATCTACTTGCAATTTCTTGCTTTCAAACTGCTAGGTTGGCAGGAGCTGGAACTAGAGACGGGAGCTCACTCCGTCATGCGGCACACTCGGGTCTCGAACGGCTGAACTACTGACCTTCCACAGCCTGCAGTTCAGCGTCTTAACCACTTGAGCCACCGCAGAGCCAATATTGTCCATATGTGCCGTAGCTTGATTCTTCCACACAACATTTTTAAACTTTGCTTTCAGTATTATATATGTGCTGGCACAATTCAGGTCATGCCAGCGATTCAAAGATAAACCTAAACATTTTCATTGTTTATCAGTTTTTACTTAAAAAAAAAATGTGTCAGGAAGGTATTATGATAGAAACTGGGGACCAGTGAGACTCATGGAGGGGGTGGAAACGTCCTTCCTACCTACATACCTACCTACCTACCTACTTTTAAAGCCACCTTTCCATCCAAGTAAGGGTTTCCAAGAACGCATACAATAAGAATACATTAAAACAGCCTTACAAACACATGGACTCATGAACAGGAAAGGTGGTCAGTGAGAATCAATGAGGGAATGCTAGACAAAGCAGAAAAGTCTTCACCAGCTGGTGGAGGACAATGACAGAACAGGACAGATGAATCACCCCGGAGAGGGAATTCCGTAACTTTTGGTGTCACAACCAAGAAGGCACCTTCTTGGGTTGCCACTCATCTAGCCTCAAATAGCAGGAGCACCTAAACCAGGGCCTCCAAAGATGAATATAGTAGTCAGACCCCTTTATTTTCCCAGCCTAGCTTTCACTTTATCCCCTCCACAGTCCAATTGCCACCATCTGTTGTAGCCTCCCTCTTGTAGCTGCTTCCCAAACTGTCCTGCTGCCCATATTCCTGATCAGCTGGGCCCAGGGGTGGAGTGGAAGCAGGGTTGAAGCAGAAAGTCTGCTTTGAAAGCTTTGCCCTCCAGATCTCTTCTTGCAGCTTTCAGCCTACTGAAGGGGGCTGGGGTTAGGATATGCTTTTCCCTTGGTCCTCACCACCACAGTCAGCAAGTTCGTGGTGGTGGCAAGACACTAGCATACAGGACATGCTGTCTGTTCCAACCCTGCCCTCCTTGCTACCCAAAACAATGGGTGGTGGATGATTCACCTCCTCCTGCTCCTTTCTTTTCTTTCTTCCCATCTGATGCGACCTCCTTTCTCCCCCTCATTCACTGCCTGTGCCACCACGCTATTTCCCTTGCTTGCCAGCTGTAGCCACTGCTGCCTCTTCCTCCTCCATTTGCCATAGTTGCTGCTCATGTCCCCCCTTCTAGTTCCCTTTCTCCCAGTGGCATCTGTAGTCACCTGCAGCAGTGTTTGTTGGATTGCTAGGCAACCTATGAAAAGGTAGTTGAGATCTTGTTAAATAGATCTCATTTTGCAAGATCTAATTTTCCCCCCTCCAAGTATGTGTATGAATTTTTTAGCATTCTTAAATAGATCTCATTTTGCAAGATCTAATATCCCCCCCTCCAAGTATTGCAGGGTAAACCCCATTAACTATTTTGCCATCCTAGGATTTTCCTGCAAACTTAGGAATTTCCCACAGGTTTGTTGAAAAATACCCCACATTAATATTTGGCCCCATTATATGATTTTTTTTCAATCTGCATTATGGAGTCATTGTTCAGAAGTAAATATATTGATGTGTATGAATTTTTTAGCATTTGGTCAACCACTACTATTCTTAAGGGTGTACCTAAAGTCAAATGTGGTCCTTTCGGGAATGTTTGAATATGCCTTAATTAATTTAGAATTTAAATTGATCTGTTCAACTATTTCTGATGTCTGTATATGAATACATGAAACTGCCTTATACTGAATCTGACCCTTGGTCCATCAAAGTCAGTATTATCTACTCTACTCAGACTGGCATCGGTTCGCCAAGGTCTCAGACCTTTCATATCACCTACTGCCAGATCTTTTCACTGGAGATACCAGGGATTGAACCTGGGACCTTCTGCATGCCAAGCAGATGCTCTACCACTGTGAAAGCCAGTGTAATGCTATGGTTCTGGAAGTCATCTTAGTCAATATAGCTCACATTTCTTAATTTCTTTTTCAAATTAGTTTGGTTGCTGACATTGTGGTGTTCAACTCTGCTTATAATATGGAGTCATTTCTAACATCTATTGGAAAATTCATGAAGCTGATGCCTGACCGTAGACCCAAGTGTCTGGAAAAATTAATCAGACCAAAATGCCAAGTCCTGTATTTTCCAGTGAAGTTTCCTGATGTGAGCAGGTATGTAGCTTTTAATTTTCTTTTCATCTTTGTGTCATATGTTGTTCCTGTTCATCTTAATCTGGTGATTGTTACTTGTAAATTTTCATTGATCTGTTCTAGATATGTACATGGGAAAGTTGGTTAAGGTATTATGTTACTGATAAATTTTCCAGTTCACAACTGATCCATTCAGGAGCCAAATAATATCAAGTTAATTAACTAGAGCTACATGTAAACAATACCACTTTTGCCAGTAGTCATAATATATTCTTTTTTCCCCTTTTCAATTATGTTTATTGAGTTTTTAAACATTGAGTTCACACACATTGTAACATCAAATCTCTGTAACTGAGTCCACTATGCAATATTTTCTACCCATTTTTTTACTCTAGACCATTTGTTAGTTACGACCTTCTCTTCAATCCCATGCAATTGAGCATGTCCATTTCCACGACTTCCAACAATTTAAACGCTATTTCTCTCTGAGTGGGTATTCTATCCGACTTCCAGTATTTTGCTAACATAATTCTAGCAATAGTTAAGACATGCAACAGAATATATACCTCCCGGTGCGAGACATAATCACCTGCTATTATATTTAGTAGATATATCTCTGGATTAAGTACTATATTTACACTAAGAATTTCCTTAATTATAGTTTGCACCATCCTCCAGTAGCTTTGTATTTTTTGGCATCTCCACCACATATGGTAGAAGGTGCCTACATTCGAATTACATTTCCAGCAACTATTGGAAAGATTCTTCTGACATTTAGCTACTCTGTCTGGCAACCAGTACCATCTATGGTGCATTTTATATACATTTTCTTTGTATGTCACTACCTTTAGAAATGTTAATTTTTCCCAAAGCAAGTGCCACTCATCTGAGTTTATTGTGTAACCTATATCCTGCATCCATGTAACCATGGACGTTTTTATTATTTCATCTTGGGTATATATATTCTGAAGACATGATTCCTGCCTAGTGTTTCAAAGGATGTACAATTCTACATGTATAGGAGGGAGTATCACCCAGAACCATGCACAGAACTGTAATTGCAATCACCTCTGAGATGGCTAATTTTGCTACTTCTCTAAATTGGGGATGTTTCAATTGCAGATACGTGGCAAAATTATCCTCCTCAACTGGGGCTGATCAAAAGGACACAATGCCAGAAGCAACTATCAAAAGGAGATGTTGGGTTGGACTTGTGCTAAATTGAACTTACTTTATTATCATTTGAGTTTACACTTGCACAAAGTCTTGTACAACCAAATTTTGGGTGTTATAATATATGGAGAGGAAAGGCCTAGATGCTGCACAAGAGCACAGAGCTGCTCTAAGTTCAGTTATGTTTCCACATGTCCTGGTGTGCAACTTGGGGGTTAGCATGTTGGGCATTTGGAAGTAAGGTCACTTTATTTGGCTTTATAGTTTGCAGTTTTGAAGCTAATGACCTAATTTGAGCACCTAGGCTTGGTCATTCTGGCTATATGTTTGCAGAAAAATTACCTTAGGCAGTGCACATAGCAGTACACAACACAAATTCAGCAGCTTTTCATCAGCTAAATGTGATTTAAAAAAACAAACCGTAGTCCTTTAAACCTTTAAAAGAAAACATTGTGCTGCAAAAACACAGGTTAGCTGTTCTTAAGTTTATTTACTTGAAAAGGAAACTTTTTTTGTACAGTGTGCACACTTAAAAATGTGGCACATTTTGAATTTAAATAGCTTGTGTTTAGAATCTTGGTGTTGCTGTCTTTAAATACAAATAGATAGATAAACATCACCACAAGAGGCCAAGGAACCAAGCTTACCAAGGTAACAACAAATGCTGAATCATTGTGCAATTTCAACCAGCTTTTTTCAGATTGTTGCTGCTATTTTTCCTCTCGAACAAGATCATGTGTTAAATAAATGTTGAATGCACCTGTGGCAATTGAATACAGTTTATTAATTTAGTCTGTATTACTCCAGTGAAATCTAGCTTAATGGAAATGGAGGAGAAAAAGGTTAAGAAATATCATGGCCAAACTTAGATTCATAAAGCAAGCTCTTAGCCCAGAGTGTTTTTCAAGTTATTTTCAAATGGTAATTTGCTTTATCCAAACCAAACTCATACAGTGTAAGTAAGTGATTATTTGCATGACTGACAGTCATTTGAATGCCTGCAGTCTTTTAAAATGCATAATTTTGCAGAGATTGGGGAGGGGGGCTATGAACAGTAAAATAACCAAGGTGATTTTTTTTTCTCCTTGCTTTGACCTCCTTTTAGTTATTTCCCGTAATACGATTTTCATTTGTACACGTGGAAGAGACAAGCTAAAAAACAAAAGCAGTAACCATTTAGAATATGACCATGATTTGTAAAGAGAGTCTTCAGTTTTTGTTAATATTATGACTGTATAACAGAGGAGAAATACATTAATGCATCCCATTTGACCCTAGAATCAGTCATAATAGGGGCAGCACATACCATTTCACTTTGGAAAATAAATTATGGTTAGTTGTAGCTTCTTTTTTTAAAAGAAAAAAGGTGCACTCATGCCCTTACAGTGAAGCTGTGCAAATCCAGATAGAAGAACGCTAAAACTGGAAAATGCTGTGAAATGCAGTAATAATGTTTATTTTGCAGTAGAGATGCTGTGAATTGGGATTTTTATAGCATTCAAATGAGGTTTTAAGCATGTAATTCACTTTGGGTATAACTGAAGATCTGTCTTAGTACCAAAGTTGTATTTTCTTCAGCATTTATATTTGTTTTCAGGTACTGAAGTAGAGAAGCATGTGAAATTAATTCTAAATTACTTCAGCATTGTTATGCTCAAGCTCATTTGCACCCCCCACCCCCCGCACAATGTTTATGACAGTGATGACAGCGGAGAGAACCCTCTAGGCCAATTTAAGGGTATCTCTGGGTCTACTCTGTACAGAGATGCATTGTGATGGTCCCCACAATGAAAGTCATTAGTGCTTTTCAAGTGTTAGATTTCTGGCACTGTTATCATGCATACTGGGAGAGGGGTAGTACATATGATCCTGAGACATGGAGCTGCCATTCTGTCTGGAAAGGGGTACATGTAGAAAATCAGAGATCTGGCTAAAAAAAAGATTGGTTGCCCCCCCTCCCAACAAAAATGACAGACGTATATATTGGGCAAATGATGTGCCTTCTCCTGGTATGTGCCTTCTCCTGGTACAGAGATGTAATGTCTGAAGAGGAAGTGAGTTTACACAGGTGAAGGCAAGTTGCCCATTGTGGCTCCGCCTGTGTAGGGAGGAAAGAGCTGTCTCTGTGTCCCTCCACTGAACAGTCTTTTTTTTTATTTAAAATTTTTTATTTCCCTCTCCTAAAAAGGAGAGAAGTTTCGCTTTAGAGTTCAGAAAAAAGGGAAGGGTATATAGAGGGACAAAGAAAAGTGTGAGTGATGTTAATACAGGTATGTTAATCTGTTAGTATTAAAGGCAAAGTTCAAATCACAGTTTGCGTCTTCTTCTGTAGTTGGATAATCATCTGTTTCTTCTTTTTCCTTTCAAATCGGGCAATTAGTATGTTAGTAAAGTCCTTTTGGGGTTAAAAATCCTTCTATGACACTGTCCAGATAAGTCCTCAAAATTTAAGATGTTTTCCCTTTTTTCTCTCTTAAGTTGTACTTTGGACCTTCTTTCACCTCTCCTTCCGAGCTGCTGTCATCTTCGCTTCTTCCCGAGATCCACTCTGCGAGTTCTGCCTCTTCTTCTGTATTGGCGTGCTTTCTCAAAAATTCTTGTGCCTTCAAGATGGAATCAATCCTTTCTCTTTTATCTTTAAATTTACAGACCAGTCCTTCTGGCGTTAACCACCTGTAACTAATTTGACGTTTTTGTAAGAACAAAGTCAATCCTTTATATTCTTTTCTTTTCATTCTAATTTCAAATGGAATGTCTTTCAAGACTCGAATTGGTTGTTCTGAAATTTTCAAGGGTGTTGCTGAAACTGATTTTAAAATTTGATCCCGGAGATTTTGCTTGGTAAATTTCACTACCACTTCTGCCGGCAGCTTATTCTTCTTTGTATAGTTGGAATAGGCTCTATAAGCCAGATCCATCTCTTCTTTTATTTTTCCCGCTTCGCTGCCGATCCGTGGTGCCAATGCTGTTGCCAAAATATCTCTGAGGTCTTCCTGTTCCTCTTCTTTCAATCCTTGAAATCATAGAATCAAGTTTGATTTTTCCATTTGAAACATTAATAATTTATTTTCCTGCTTCATCTGTTGTTTTTCCACTTTAACAACTTTCTTCTTTACACTCTGAATTTCTTCTGTTGACGCCAGACACTTCTTTGCAATTTCATCTACCTTGTCAGCAGTCTCCATCATTTTTTTCTGCTGAATACTGAAATCACCCTCCATGTTGTCAAGCTTCTGATTTATTTTCTGCAGTTCCTCCAGCAGATGGCGCGCAAGTTCACCTTCTTGTTGATTGACAGCAGTCCTGGCAGAGGAGGGACTCGCACAGGAAGCTCCTCCTGTCTTCTTTGTTAGCCTCTCCGAAGCCTTTTTGTCTCTTTCTTTTTGCATCGCCATTTTCAAACTTTGTTTATACTAGAAGGATGGCTCCTTCTAGCCTACGCTCGGCTCTCCTCCAAAAGGCAAATCGCTTAAGCAATTCTTCGCCCCGCCCCCTCTCTCCGCTTTTAAAAAGTCTCTTTTTTACTGTGAGGGGGAATCCTCCCTCCTCCCTTTCGGTTTCCTGGGGGACGGAACTCGCTTGAGCCACAACTTTTGTGTTGATCACCAACTCACAGTTAGTCGCATATGCTTTTCTTCCAGCTTTGACCTTATTGCTTCATCACTCCGATATTCCGGCGGCTTTGCTAATCCCCTTCACGGGGCATGACGCAGCTGGGGCCGTTTGGGGCAGGGGAGACTTGGACGGGGAGCCTCAATTCCCGGCTTTCGTGCCGGTAAGAGGCTTCTCCCAGTCTCCCAGGCGCGCCCCCTGGTTCGGAGCCCTGTATCCAAGGCTCCTTAGGATCT